TTTTATTTACCTTTTCAGAATGGGTAAAAAGCATAACCACATGCCAAGACTGATAAAATTGCCAGTGAAACACTTCAAATAGCAAAGTCTGTAAAGCCCTAATGATTCAATGTCTTTACTGCCCACAGAAGTAGGATTCAGCAAACATCAAAATGGGATTCCGAAAAAGAAACTAAGCCTAGAGTTTGTACATAATTCAACTAAAATGGCTGAAAAGATTGCCTACAACTTGTATGACAAAGAGATGCAGAGTAATCAGCAGCTGTGGTCTTTCCCTCATGAAGTACCCAGTATTACTAGTAGGCTAAAAAGGTTTGTTATTCCCCCAGTGGCCACACAAAGCACAACATCAATGTACTATAAATGTATAAATGACACTGCGCTACATTTCTTACAAAGCAAGAATCACAGCTGTGAGAAGCCCTACCAGTTGACAGCTGACTCACATGTCAAGCCTGGTAACTGATTTACATCTTTACATCAAGATTCGTCAATGGAAAACAATCACTCCAATCTTAGTGAGGACTGCTAATATGGTTTTAAGTAAGTAAAAGGCCATCTGTCTTGCATTTATGAGAAAATATCAGCCTCACTCATTTAACAGATTTTTACTATTTAATTATTTTCTTTTTCTCCCTGGGCACACAGACCAATGATCTAGTTTCTATTTAACTTTCAGACCATGATAACAACCTGCAGGAAAGTTCACAGTAGAGTCCTAGAATGACCTGAAGGGCTGGCTCTATCTCTGAGAACTCAAAAGATACAAAAACGCATTTGTTTAACCATGTTTAATACTCATAGTACTTAAGTGTTTTTTCATATTGGTTTTACTTTTACATACTGAGGGAGGAATCCCCAGGGCCTTTAATGGGTAGGGTAAGTTGGACAATTAGAGGTGAAATCCTTAAAATTTCTTAGTATGACGTTAGACTATCCTTAGAGGTACTTCTCTACCCATTAAAAAAATAAAATACAAGTTCAGGCGCAGTGGCTTATGCCTGTAATCCTAGCACGATGGGAGACTGAGGTGAGAGGAATGCTTAAGGCCAGGAGTTCAAGACCAGCCTACACCTAAGCACAAGACCGTATCTCTACAAAAAGTAGGAAATTTAGCCAGGCATGGTGGCGGGTGGCTATAGTC